ATATTAATAAATATACAAATGAGCAAAGCCGAGACACATAGAAGTGTTGTGCCTGAGGCTCAGGTGATCGCACCGAGGAAAAAACAACACAAAAACAGCAGCACTTTCCCTCTTACCTTGATGTCGTCGAGAACTCTGAACAGCGTCTCCCAGATTTCGGCCAGATGATCGATGAGGTCGTCCGCTTGACGCCCACGAATCAAGTCGCTCAGAGCAAGGCAGCTAGAGGAAACCAGTCACACGTCATTAAAAAAAAAAAAAGTCCTAATCCAAATCCAGAAGCACAGTTTTCCTGAGCCCCGCTACGATGTCCTGTATAATCAGCTCCTTAAAAGCTGCTAAATGCTTACTCCTGTCAGACCAACCACGCCGTGTTTCGACTTGAGTGATGCGACTTTTTCTTACAATCTAAATTTGAAGCAGTTTGTTTTCAAAGAGAGCCTGAATGCCCAGATATAACGGTAAAACCCCATGACAATGGCCATGACAATGTGTGATCAAGATCACAACAAGAAACGACCATTTGCAGTCTAAGATTTCAAATTCTAAATGTGTGAGGTGACATGTAAATTATTCTGTACTTGTAATACTAATCGATTCATGTGGGGCCAGTTCCTCCATCGATGAAAGACTGGCTTTTGCGTTGCCTCATAGTCTCTGTTTTATACTCAAGTTAAAAAGATACAGTGGAGGAACTTCCAATAAAAGCTTATTACTGCGGATAACACGACCTAACCTGTCTTTAGGGGGAATGCTTTCATTGTACCTGGACTCACGAACTCTCCAGGCGCTGCTGGTCAAATTAGAAATGACATCCTTCAGGATCTCCTTCAGATACTTATCCACCTGTAACACACATATACTTTTAAAAAAGGCTTTGTCTACATCAGTTTTCTCAATTATGGTGTAAATTAACAAATAAAAAATGCAATGAGCCCGAGCTCCTACCAGGGTCTTGTCCGTGACCAGAGCATCCCAGATGCTGGTCATGGCCTGGCGAATGCTCAGGTTGGGATCGAACTGATAGCGGTACAGACGAGGCACTAACTGGGGCAGGAATGGAGCCAGCTGCTCCCCGGCCTTGGCTGCGATCATGTGGAAGCCAAAAGCTGCTCCCTGGAAGGAGGAGAGGCTCACTTGGGTCAGGCGGGAGAGGGGAAAAAAAAAGAGTGGCTCTGAGAATAAGTGAGTGCCGTACCTTCCGTGAGTTCCACATTGCATGATGATTGGCCAGGTTCATGAATTTGTATACGAGATCTGGCTGGTTCAGGTCGCTGGCCAATGAGCAGAGTTCCTTGTATGTAGACAGGCCGTGGCTGTGAGGGATCAAAGAATTAAGTCGTACTTAGGCATGCGAGGAAGAAAGTGGCACAGATCTGCTAAACGAAACCAACATGCACACTTGTAGGGCCCCTGGTCATTTCTATTGTTTTTTTCTCCATTCTGGATTAAAATATCAGCGTAATCAGCTGGCACTAAAATATACATGAGCACATGACTCACCCGTCAGGAGTTTTTCCCAAACCTTCCCCCTGGAATACCTCCGTATCCTCGGAGACTGCGTGCCTCACCCTGCTTGAAAAGACAAAATTGCCTTTAACAAAGGCTCATCAGAGAACTCGTGTCCCTTCGATTCAACCGTCGACTCGCCTTTTGCCAGTCATGAGGGTTTCCACCAGAGTGGACACCAGCTCCTGCTGATCGCCCTCATCTCCCATCTCATAGACGAGTCCGAGGCCTTTGGACGCCACATCCTGACTCAGCTCTGGGTGGAAAGGAAAAAAAAGAAAAGGGGTGGATGGAGGATTGATGAGGGCTGAGAGAGATGTAGCATCACTGTGTTAACGTCGCTGGTGCTCGGCACATTTTGTCTCACCGTCAGGGTCAGAGAGAACAGAGATAAATGCGTTCTGGATCTCCTTGAGATGGGACTGTAGGGGGACAGAAAGGGAAAGAAAATCACTTGAAGTCCAGCTGCCAAAATAAACTAATGGATTCAGCTGGTTTCTGCCAAATACGCACAGTGATTTCCTTGTGCTGAGCAAGTTTCTTGACGAGGGAGAGCAGCCAGATGCAGGCGGCCTGTCGGACATGAGGGTTTTGGCTGGGTATGTATTTAGACAGGATGGAGTTGAGGACCCAGGGGACCACATCATTGTTTTTAACATCTGAAAAAGGCAGGGAAGAAAAAAGAAAAAGTTCTGTTGAGAAAAAACTGGACATTTGTATCTAAACAGACTTGAGAACTGAATTTCTTTTTTACAACGCAGCTTTTTCAACCCAACATTTCCTTTAACAAAAAGCTGGTGTGACTGACCGAGTGGCGGGTTGTACTGGTCCTCCGTGCAGGTCCACGGGTCTCTGGCTGCTCCAGAGCCAGTTCCTATGGCGGCACTGGTGATGGCCTCCCCAACTGTGAACTGCAGCTCCACCTGTTTGGCCTTGGACAGAAAAAAAAAGAAGGTGATATAAAGTGAGGCCTGATGCTAGACAGGACATGACACATCAAATAGGGACCACTAAAGCAGACCTTTTACACTACCCATGTGATGTTAAAGAATGCCACTGGCCAAAATATTTGCTACTCTGTTTGCAGTAAACTCACTTTAAAAACAATTGGATTTAGGAAGGGGAGTGCAAAGAGATGAGGTTAATAACCGGTTTGGTTGTGGATCAACACAAAGACAATCGTTAAACCTGCCAAACATCTTTTTTTTTTTTCAATGCTACCTATGACTGATTAAAAATGTAAAATATCCTGAAATGTGGCTTTAAGATTGTAAGATTTGAAAGCACAAAATAACAAGCAAACATTTTAGAACATTTTGAGGGATGAATGTGAGCAGAATTGCGAGGAGTTTTTGGTAGGTGGAGACGGATCGAACAGAATCGCAAAGACGCTGGACGCCTGTACTTAATTTTTGTTTCGGTACCTCCACGGAGTCCATGAGCCCCTGCAGCAGCTTCTTCTGGTGCGGGAAGTCTGCGTCCCCCACTGCTAGATAACCCAAGGTCATGATGGAGCGCTCCTTCATCTGGAACGCACGCGAGAAGAAACAGAAGCAAGTTAATGAGGGAAAAAATGAGGCAAGGAACCAAATAAGAAAACAGAAAATAAAACCAAAGAAAAAATTAAGCATCATGCAACTACGTGCTGAGGTTACCTTTGTGCTCTCCTTGCCAGAGGGGATTCGAGCCAGCAGGTTTTCCACGATGGAGAGTTTTGTGAAGCCCTCCCCCTCTGCGGGGATCAGCAGGGGGCCATTCCGCCCAATTTCCCCCAGAGCTGTACAGGCTGCCACGGCCAGCAGCGCACTGCTGCTGTCCAGAAAGGAGCCTGGATGGTCACGCACGCAAAAACTTGAGAAGGGAGAAATAACCGGCACAGCAATTGTTCTTGTTTTTCCCTAGAAAAAAAACAAACAATCAGAATTTCTACCGATGGTCTTGGTGGCCTTGGAGGCAGGTTCATCGTCGTCCTGGGTGGTGATGCTCATTTGCTGCCCTTTGCCTCGGTTACACGGGCTCATGGCTCTCTTTCTGCTCATGTTTCTTCCCACCATGTAACCGAGAGCCAAAATGGCGCCGTGCTGCGTCTCAGGACTCTGCGATTCAACCGAATCCAAAACAGCTAAAGTGAAAATGCATTCTTCCGTACATTCAATGTATTTGAAAAAACATTTTTTTAAGTTCAATCTTTTGGGCTTATCGAAAATGGACACGAGAGGCAGAGCTCCATACGTGGTTGTCTTTGGTGATTTTGACAAGGTTCTGCACGGCCGTCTGAAGCTCATTGCCAGTCATGGTGGAAATCACTACAGCATACAGCTGGGCTGCAAGCTCCCTCATGTCCTCCTTGTTTGTGTTCATCAGACTCTGGACAGAAGAAAAACAAACAACTGGGTGTTGTACCACCACCAGAACCAGCTGGACCGACTGCTTTACAGTGCTGTAAGACTGGCAAAATAACTACTGACTCCATCTCTCATGTACACTAACATTCTAAAGAAAAATACTCACTTTAATCCAGTCGATCTTGTCAGCAAACCTGGTGGCCAGTTTCTCTGGACACACTGACACCACCTCCAGTAAACAGTACATGACAGGAATACCTGTTGAGAAATGGTGAGATGAACTCAATTCCTTCTCAAATTATGGAACAAATGGCACTGATAAGAGCCGATTTATAGGTTGAGAAATAATCCAAATGCCACCTTTGGCATATATATACAAATAGGCAGAGATCTGCAGGGAAATGGGACATGTGCAAACCAATTGTTGTTTAGGACATGTACAAATTTAAAATAAAACACACACCCAAACAAAAGGTTAACTAAATTAGAGAGTCCATCTTTTAAGTCAATTTTTAATAAATGTTCTATGTTGTATACAGGCTTAACTGTAAGTAAGAAACTGAATTTTTTTCTTCAAATCCAATTAAAAGTAGTATCAGATTAATTTTTGGTGGATAAAAGGTTGGGCTCATAGAAACTTAAAAAAAAATAATAAATAAAATAACAGGCGTTAGAACCGGTCAGTTTTAACCCAATTTAAAAAATATAGAGAAATGTATAAATGCCGATTTTTTACCAATTACAATAAAACAAATTATCCAAAACCACAAACCCAAAACATTCACTAGTTCACTCACTCACCCCCGACAGCAGACAGCAGCTGCTGCATGAGGTCCATGTAAACGTGCACAGGGTTGGCCTCGGAGCCCTTTGACCCAGAGGGCTGCGGCTCGGAAGACAGCAGCGTGTGGACGTAGCGGCCGATGGTGGGAGCGTCGTCCTGCATGTCCGACAGGCGGGTGGACATGGGTGTGGCCCCCGCACTGTGGGCCAAGCACATCCTCAGGTAGAGTATGATCTAAGAGGACGGAAAAGAGAGGGGAGGAGAAGATGAGGGATTTCCATGGTGACGACTATCCAATGTAAGGCAGTAACAGTGTTTACCTCCCCGAATGCAGATGGGTTGAAAGGAATTGTGGAGGTTCCAACTATGTACTTGGCAGGAGTCTTAATCCTCTGAGCCGCCTGGCAACAGCAAAACAAAAAAAACGTTTTGTTTTGGTTTTTCAGTCAAAAAAAGGCCCCTCTGAAACTTAAGACGTATGGTCCATTAGATGTTTTGAGCCTCACTTTCTCCTGGACATAGGCAACCATTTCAGGAAAAGAGGGCATCGGCTTGGGTCCCTCCTTCTCTGAGCTCTTGGCGGGGAAAGCCCTCAGCACCTTCTGAGCCTCTGCAGACACTTCTTCCCGTCTAAAATACAGAAAATCAACGCGTTGCATCATCACAGTTGGAGCACCACATACAAGCTCAGTTAAAAACCGCCACAAAAAGGGAAATCCTGGTGCTCTTTTGAACTTACGGGTCTCCTGCGGCCAGCAGCAGCAGGTATCTCGTGGGCACGTGGTCTGAACCGAACACCGTGCTGGCAAACTTCATGGCCACCTGTCGAACTTGCACCTCCGGCTGCCAAAGAGTAGACAGTGAACGGGCTTGAATCACAGTCAAAAAGGAACGTGCCGACAACGAGCTGATGTTTTTCTGCTTCAACAAGAGATTAAACGTGCGGACGTGAGCATGGCGAGTTCATTTTTGGAAACTTGTTTGATACCACTGTTAAATTGAGGTTGCTAAACTGAGGAATTGTCGCAGTTCAATGCAGGCAGAACACACAACTTATGTACTGATTCCCTCTCGCCAAAGTCAGACCAGGCTGAGTAGTGTGCAAGAGAGACGTCTGGAGCCCTCCGCCTCGATCGAGGATTCTGAATTATGCAAGAATCCTCTAATGTGAATTTGCAAACAGCGAGCTGATCTGTTCGTATGCTGATGAAACTTTTGAGAAACATCCCTTTTTTAATCAGCAATCTTTTTTCATGGAATTTTGAATAAAAGAAAAAAATAAGAAAGTAATTTGCATGTTATGCAGCATGGAAATCTATGACTATAGGTACTATGCCAAGTATTAGTGCAAGAAGACAGAAAAACAAACAAACAAAAACAAATACAAAAAAATGAAATAAAACAAAAAACAGCATTGCTCAAATCCTGTCCCATCAATATCAAAAGTAACTGCAAAGCAATAAAGGGCTCAAAGACTGGGTGTCAGTTTCTTTCATCTTTCAGAAACATAACTTTGAGGTCAATTAAGAGGCAAAAGGATGCCCTTTAAATCTATTGTGACTGAGCATTCTATTCAACTGACAGCCAGTATATCCTGCTGTGATGGCTTACCTTTCCAATGTATGCAGCCACCAGAGCCTCCATCAGATTCAGCAGCGCCCCCTGCAGGTTAGCATAAGCTCCGACCATCATTGACAGGGCCTCCTGAATGGCGAGGCGGACGTCGGCTTCCTCCTAAAAAAGCAGAGGCGTTGGGGTTTAGAGTTACTGGGGGGGGGGGTGATGAAGGATCTGACTTAGGCGCGGTTGCCTACCTTGCACATGGACTCAAAGAACTGCTGCACGAGTGCGATGTCCTTTGTGAAGAGCTGCGGCATGCGGCTGAAGCACACACAACAACACCAATTAGGCCCATCTCTAATTTTATAAATGGGAGGAGGGGGGGGGGGTGACTTTGCCGTACCTTGACAGCTTCCCGACGGCAGAGTACGCGACGCACAGCAGCTTTGGATCCTGCAAAGACACGCACGGCTCAGCAAAATAGACACGCTTTGAGGCGGAGCCGGTATTTTTTTAGGGCTGAGGCCGAGTACCTCCTTGTATTCGTTGATGAGCTTGGTGAGACCATTGAGCAACATCAGTCCCAAAGGCTTATTGGTGTCAGGGCACCTGTAAAAAGCAAAACAGAGGGAATCGTTTTGCGGATAGAACGGAAGGTTAAATGTGCCGAGAGAGAATGCAGTAGAAATTCATCTTACACCATGCAGATGTGATGGACAAACTGTAAGGTGAGAGACAGCAGCTTGTTGTTGGTGTTGGCACCGAACAGGCCGTCGTAGACCACCTGGAAGAAAGTCGAAGCTGTGAGAGCTGCCGATGGCTGCCGATCGGTTCCAAACCGAGCCGGAGCGCCTACCTGAATGTTGGCTGGAAAGCACTCCGCGGCCAGACGGGACCGGAGCAGATGCGGCAGGATTTTCATTTTGACCCTGGTGCTGACTGGCTCGTGTTTCAGCTCCTGTTTCATACCGCCACCCTGGGTCGGAAAATAGGGAAAACTCAGAATGGCGAACATGAGTTTAAAAAAAACAACTTAAAAAAAAAGGGTTTACAAACCTTTGTTTTCAGAGGCACGTCTCCCAGATACACCCTGAACATCTTGTTGATAATCAGAGGATTGTTCCAGTCAATGATGCTGGAATGTAACCAAAACCAGCACGTCACCCAAAAAATAATACAACCAGTTGTCTCCACACACCCACAGACGGTCAGGTAAGGACCTAAACGATCACTTTCACCCCTATTTTCTGGAACCTTCTCCACAACAGCTCTGCTTAGTAAACTCAGGAGTTGGCGATGCAGGTTCACCCACCTCTGTTTACTCTTCAGCTCCAGGTCGGCGGCGGTGGCCACGCTGTGCCTGGTGTCACTCGACGCCACCACCAGGTGCACCACTGTCTCCACTTCCGGGACCTGTTTCGCCTCGATGAACTTCACGATGCCCAGCTTGCACTGTTGACACCGGAGAGGCGAGCAACGACGCATTAGCTTGTATTCGACACGGTGGCCATTTGCTTTCAGGCTCAATCCAGATGAGTGGGAAAGCAACTGAATTTAATTCATCTGAGACTGGTTCTAAGGTGAAATCGGCCTCAAACGAGCAGCTGGTGACATGACAATCGATTCAGGGCCTGGAAATCCTAAGAATTTTTCTAAACTAAACTAACTAAACAAAAGGCACACTGGATTAAAAAAAAGAAATGCAAGAGACCACTCTTAACTCACCTGGTGGGGAAACATTAAGACAAAAGTCTAAAAAGTCTAAAGACTTAACACCCTACAGGGCAGTCATTTCTTTTTTTAAACGTTATTTGTTAAAGGAATGACCCAAACTGGATCTGACTTCAACAGATCTATGCATTTGGATTTAAATAAAGCAATCATCCCTGCATATTATCTCATCCGATGCATGTATTTATGTACCTAATTGCCAACCATTTTTCAAACTATTTCCAACACCTCGTTCTCCGCAGAGAGCGGCTCGAGGTCTGATTCCATTTTATCTGGCCAAAACAGACAGAGAGACACCCGGGACTCAAAATCCAACAGCAGTTCCTGTACCTGCTCCAGCTGCTCAGCGTTCCACTGGGCCTCTCCAATCACCCTCTTCACAGCATACACGCTCATCCCGGGGGGAGGCTGGGGGAGACCCTGCCCACTGGCAGCCACCGCCCCATCTGCAGAACCTCCCTGGGCGGTGGGGGAGGGCGCAGGCCGAGTGGGAGACTCGTTTAGCACAAACCTGGGGGGGGTAATCGGAGAGGGGATGAGTTTAAATTTCACTTGGGGAGCCGAGTAAACTCCCGACGCCGCCGATCAAAGTACCGTAGGCTCCCAGCGGCAGCTCACCCATAAGGCATGAGTAAAACATCCAGCATGAACTCCAGCAGCAGGTGCACCGTCTTTGGCCGCTCAGACAGGTTGAAAGAAGAGGTGCTTTTGGACGCGTCTGCGGGATACTTCATGTGGTAAAGAGTGGGGATCAGCAGGTGCATCAGGCTGATACGAGGAAGGAGGTCAAAATGTAAGGGAACAATTACGCAAAGCCTGCTCGATTGAGAACTCAATCGGTGGTTTCCATCCTGAACGTGGACGCCGAGCGAGCGGGTCCCCTCACCTGTCCTGCTGTGGCTGCGGCTTCCCCTCCATGGCAGTGAGGAGGGTCGGGGCCAACTCGCACTGTTTTCCCACCTCCAGGCGAGGGTAACCCATTTTAATGTAGATGATGGTGAAGTTCTGCAAAGAAAATAAACCCGTTGTAAAGCCTGTCTCGGGCAAGGGGCCGGTTTCCAATTTGGTATTCCAAATAAATAACAGAGATGGGTGGGGAGGGAAAAAAAGAGTGGGTAGAGTGCCTCTACCCTGTTTTTTTTAACAATCTTACTGTGACGAAGGAAGCGGCTGCTGGGTCCTGATACTGCACCAGCAAAGTTTCTACTGGCAACTGAATCTTTGGTCGGCTTTTTATCCTCTTATTCAGGTGGACCAACAACTCCATGACCTAAGAAAGAAGGGTTAGGCTTATACAGAAATACACACTCCTTAGTTAGAGACCAAGCCAAGCTAATTGAAGGCAACAGGATTTCTGTGTAACACAGACATCTATCTATCCCAAGCGCCCATTTGAAGCACAGAGATGAGCAACAGCTTTTCTCACCTTCTTTCTCACACCCTCCTGAACGCTGGAGAGTTTGAGAAGGACAGGGGGCAGGAACTTGGAGATAACGTCCTGGAGCTGCTCATCTGTCTCTGCGTGGCCCAGGCGGAGGAACACGCGTTCCAGTTGATCTGTCCAAATAGAAAATCAACAGCATTTCTCATATGGTGTGGGCATCTCTCCCACCATCTTCCCATTCAGCTATCAACCTATAGCCCACAAGGTTAGATCCAGACAGCCTGTTTCATACAGCATTGAAGAAAGAAAAGAAGAAAAAAACACCCCAGCTTTAACCGAAGAAAATGTCTCCCAGTCGTGCTGATAAGCTCATCCTGTCAGTTGCTGTGTTGGTGCAACCACCAGCCTGCCTTGCCTTCTCACTCCAGGCATAGCTCACCAGGCAGCTAGCAACCCCTGACAAGACTGTGCCCGCAATTTGCTCCTTCACCACGTTACCTCTACTGGCTTTTTACAAGCCCTGACACCCCTTGCACTTAAGCCCAAACGTCCCCAACGTCCTAGTAGCAAACGTGTAGCTTAAAAGTGCCCTAAACGGAAATATCCCCACAGTCAATGTGACACTTTCATTTTGACCATGACTGGGCAAACGGCCTTTCTGACGTTAGCGTTCCAGCTAGCGGCGTAGCCGAGCAGCTAGCTGCTTTCCCAGCCCCGTTTGTAAACTGACTGGAAATGCATCCCCGTTTTTTTTTTAAACGCCTTGGTAGGTAGAGCAGACTAAATACTTTAAGACCCGTGCTTTTTTACATCCACCGGAGCGCCAATAAAGAAAACATTAGTCGTCAATGACGCAGAGAGAAACTTACTGAGTTCATCCTGGGCAGCCATGTTTGCGGTGAAGCATCAGCGACCCTCCCAGTCCGCCGAGTGTCACTGCACCTCCCACATCTGCTCCTCACCAAAGCTCTCAGTCGTCCAAATAAAACGGTCACACTTTATACCCAAGTATCCTTTTTTCCACACTACCTAATGAAAATGACGCCATATAAACGTACACTGCAACAGCTACTTACAACGGGCCTCTCACAGACCCGTTACAGTAAAGAAAGGTATCTGGGTAAAGACACAAAGTTCCATTTTTGCACAAATTGTCTGTGCTTGTATAGTTATTTTTGGACTATTTTTTGTCAGTAGTTGTCTCACTGTTTGCATTTTGTGTTTCTGTTGTCTGTGGTAGTCTCCATCAGCCCACTCGTCTGAGCTTATTGAGCGTTTTTGGGTTGTTGTCTTCTTGCCCAAAGCATTCCATGGTGTTGTTGTATCTACGCCTAACAGGCATTATGATGAATAAATTTTATACTTTTTTTTTGGCCCTGCAAAATAATTCTACACCTCTCCGTGGTTGTTTGTGCCATTTGGGCAGTTACCCTGGACTCTAATTTCACATAGTGTCACGGAAATGTTACATCTTTGTGTGGTTTGATTGACTTTCCAACAAGAAAATATTACTGTTAATTCAAACAGAAGCAGTTGTTTTATATTTTAAACTGCAATCTCAATCAACTCAAATGAGTCACGAAATTTAAACCTTGGGCAGGAAAGCACTACCCTTGCAATAGTGCAATCTTTGGCTGGATAACCTGTATTCTAGCTTTCACCTTTAAAGTTACTTTGGCATTCCACGCATACCGAAAACCATTTCTGAGACCAGTAAAAAAAAAAAAACATATGATCAGCAATTTCATATATGAATCATGGATGGTGTGTGTTTGAGGGCAGTTTGCACTCAAAGGGGTCATTTCTGTTGGGGATTCAAAGCTGCCTTGGTATGATCAGTGAATGATTGTTTTAGTCTTGCTGGAATCTCTGCTTGTGATGCTGCCCACAAAGTAGACCACACATCATATAACTTCAGATTAATGATTTGGAATAGTTGGTTCCTCTTGACCTCCGGTTGGTCCAGTCTGGAAGGGATTTCTTACTGCTCCAAAGCCCTTAACCAAATAAATGAATTAATCCCAAAAAATGTAAAAAGCAAGAGGGTTCCTGGTTGGACTCCCGGCTGGGGACCTTTGTGTGGAGTTTGCATGTTATCCTTGCGTGTGTGAGTTTTCTCTCTCCCAATGATAGCAGCGACTAGGCTCCAGCCCCTTGCTAGGCATAGGCGGTGTGGAAAATGAATGAATGGTGCAAAATGTGATCACATGCTCCAGAATTCACATCAATTTTACAGAAAGATCTACTTTTGAAACCCATAACAACATTGTAGGACTTACACTGAAGATGCTGTAACACCATCTTTATTGTGGCTTTTGTATCATAACTATACATGGACTTTTTCATTCTAACCAGTCAGATCATTCTAAAAACAATTGAGTTTCCTGATTGCAGGTGCAAGAGTTTTGGGGGTTTTTTTAAGCTTCAGAAAACTATACGTTTTAGACATAATTTTAGAGCCGGGGTAGAACAATGTTTGCATTCTAAAAAGTCCTCATTGGGCTGGGGACTGATCAACCAGTGGTTCGTTATTTAGAAATAAATCACATAGCGTTACCAACATTCATCAGCATCATGTTTACACGGATTCAGCACTTGGACACGATGTTCCATACAGTTATTTGGACCGAATACAACAAACATTAAGTAGTTTAAAAAAAAAAAAAGAAATATCACACACGCCGAAGGGTGCTCGTGGACTAAACACTATTAGTCAGACCTGTCACAGTTTATGTCCTAACACCCATGCAGGTGCACTTTTTAATTCACTGCCATGGCCGCGGTCCAGGTCAGCAGCTCGCCTGCTGATTCGCAGATCTCACGGTGCACGGATGGGACTTCCGCACCACGGCTATGACCACGGCTCACACACACAGACACACACATACAAACACACGCTCACACACACAGAGGGCAGCGCGGAGCAGAGACACGGAACGCAGCCGCTCTTCGAAGGGGAGAAGCAACAGCAGCAGCTGTCATGTGAATCAGCTGGACGAACGAGGAAGGACATAAACAACAGCACGACTCCGTTTTTCAAGGTAAAAACAAAAAATTTCCCCCAAAACTTGCGTTGGAACGTGGGGGAATAGTGCACGGTAGCTGGGTCCGTGTCCAAGTGTCACGGAGAGGGGTGCATTTCGCGACTCCTGTGCAGAATTTTTGCGGAGCTATCAACAGCTAACTGTTAGCGTTGCCAGCCACTTAAGTTGGCACGCTACCGTGCCAGTGGCCGTCTCGGGCTGGTTGCGTCGTCATTATTCATTTGACTATTGCTCTTTTTTAAATGTATCTACCGACATTCTGAACAGTCATATTGCGAGCTAAATAATTCCGAATTGCACGAACTCTCAAAGGAGGTAGCCACGGGCCTGCGTGCAGCCACCTTGCGAGGGGCATTTAAATCCCAGTCACTCCTGTAGTAACAACTTAGTTAATGTTGCAGCTAGGTTAGCTTAGGAGGCAGTGAGGCTTTCCTCTCTCCGGTTTCTGTTTATAAAATACAAGGGAACCTTGTGCCGTGAGCTCATGTCTAATTAAAGTTAAAGAGCACCATATGAGGCTACCACGTAAAATTAAGTTAGCTAGTCAGCTGAACTAGCAAGCAGCGCTATTTGTTCAGCCATTGCTCGGCATCATAACAGAACGTAGGCTAGTTGCGCTGGCAAACAAAGATTAGCGAAGCTACGCGTGCTAATGGTGTTTTTAACAGATTTATTTTCCCAACAATTGAGCGGGGGTCTATCTTACTTTCTTAAAAGGCCGAATGTGATCAACATTCGTGTTTTAAACAATTACTGTAATACATGGACAAAGAGTGAGACTGTTCACAGTATGTGTTTTTGGAATCGATTAGCTTTTTATTGTTTTTGTTAACCCTGTTTTATAAGCTCCGTGTTAAGTAATTTAGTTCGCATTGTTTTATAACGTGGACGGCTGTGAGGTCACGCTAAAAGGGGGAAATGAAGGTTCGAAATTGTGGCTCCGAGCGGGGCATTGTGCTCCTTTGTGTGCAGGCACAGTAAAGTCAGAGTTGGGAGTGGGATGGGTGGATGGGACAAAAACATGATGTGGGATATTGGCATCAACAAGGTTCAAGGGATCAAAACTACGCTTGACGAGCTTCTAACTCCACCTAGTGGTGGAGTTTCGAACTACACACCCCACATTAAAATAATTGTTGGGAAAGCACTTCCTGAACGCCTCAATCAACATGACAAATATGGATTATCAGTAATTTAGTAACTACACTGCAGACGGGATCTTTTTAAATTTAGTTTTGCTTAAGCTTTTATTAAATGAAAACCAAAATCCTAATGATAACATTGGCACAATGATTAATAGATAACCATGAAATTCAGCTTTTACCCTATCATCTTAATATGAATTGGCTGTTAGCAATGTTTTTTTTCACCCCTGTTTTAAACATCATCCCTTTTTTCCCCCCCCGTCTTCTTTTTTTTCAGTAGGTTCAAGTCAGTGTGGTTGCAGGATGGCGGGAGCAGGGGCGTACACCTCTGCAAACCCCACCTGCAAGATCATGACATTCAGGCCGACCATGGAAGAGTTCAAAGACTTCAACCAGTACCTGGTTTATATGGAGTCTCAGGGCGCACACCGCGCCGGCCTGGCTAAGGTGGGTCCTCATCCCAAAGGCTGCAGTTCCATCATTCTGCACTGAGGGGAGGTTTTGTTAAGAGTTGTCAGAAGAAATCTTCAGACGGAATTAAAAAAAGTCAAAATAATGTATGTGTTGATGTGTGTTTTATGTAAACGGCACCAAAAAGTTGGTAAATTCAATAACATTACATTCAACTACATTATTTTACGATGCCTTAAGAAATAAGAATAAAAAACGCAAAAAGTTTACATGAGAAATCTGTATCCAGTCTTGCTGTGTGAAAGATGTAATCTGCTACTCGGCATTGTGTGCCATACGCTCTCCATAGCCTACACACCTGGACACAATGTCTATAAGAAGGCAGTCTGGAACTTTGCCTCTGAGTATCAGAATACCAATTCCCTCTCCAGAACAGATGGTGGTTTTGCTCCTTTTACTGCTTACAGCCTGGATGGTCTTTCTCATCTCTGACACATTCAATTTAAAACGCTGAATTTCCGACTAAGCAGCAGAAAGGTGGACCTATCTGAAATCGGAGCATGTCTTTCCGTTGGTCTGAGATGAGCTTGCATCCAGAAAACGGGAGGGAAGGGCCAGCATTTCTCTGCAAAGTCTCAATGTATCTACAGCAGCGCATCACGATCATGATGTATTTAGTAGATGTCACAGCAGAGTTTTTTTGTTTTTTTGTTCTAAGCTGTGAATTATCACCCTTCCGTGTGTCCCCCAGGTCATTCCGCCTAAAGGTTGGAAGCCCCGCCGCACCTATGACGACATAGATGATTTAATGATCGACGCGCCCATTCAGCAGATGGTGGCCGGCCAGTCGGGGCTCTTCACTCAGTACAACATCCAGAAAAAGCCTCTCAGTGTGCAGGAGTTCAGGCGACTGGCCAACAGCGACATGTGAGTACTCAGCTTTTGTTTTGCATGGAAGAAGGGTTCTTTTGCCAATTTATTGTTTTTTTAAAATACTCTAATTGGAATATGTAGCAATTCAAAGGTCATAATTTGAAAGGTCCCTGCCCTGTGATTTAATTTGAAATCAAATCTTTCTGGATTCAAAGTTTTTGTTGTAAGATGGACACGTCTGACCTCTTTTCTTTTCTCTTCTTAAAGGTATTGTACACCACGCTACCTGAACTATGAAGACCTTGAGAGGAAGTACTGGAAGAACCTCACTTTCGTCTCACCGATATATGGGGCTGATGTCAGCGGCAGCCTCTACGATGAGGTCTGGGCTTCTTTCTTTCTATTTTTCTCCATCTTT